ACTGTTTCTAGCAATTTGATACCCAACGTATAGCTTGCTAGGTTATATACGTGGGGGCTGGGTAGTCACAAGTAGCTTGCCAGTCTCTTTCGGAGAAGCGGAAGGAGCTTATTTGTTGAAGACGACTCCTGACCGCCTTCATGTATTTCCCAGCCGCTTGATTACAGGCTTTTGGCCGACTTCTCTCGGAGAGATAGAGTTTTGCCGAATCGGCACTGCAGAAACATTGAGCTCATCCCCTGAATCCTGCTACGTCTTTGGGAAGCACATGATTGTCTTTGGTTCGCGCTTAATCCTCTATCCACCACCTGGGGACGCGCCACGTGCCCTCGCAACTAACCGGCCGTGATCTCCCAAAGAAGAAGATCCGTGGACACTGTTACATATCGTCATGAGAAAGTAAGAATTGGAGATTCGTTGTTTCCCTATTAATGTATTGAAAGTATTGAAAGTGGAAATTTTTAGGGCACGTGAGCGTTCTTTTCATCAAAAAACTTTTATAGAAGGTCTTTGAGGACATAACATTTTTTTCTGATCACAAATTGTCTTCACCGTACGAATTTCACTATACAATTACCAATACGCCCAATACGAAGTTTAAGAGACGGAATGTTAACTCAGAGCATGAAATGCGATCTTAACTCCCTTGCTACAGCGCACAACAAAATTATTTCCAAGAAAAAGCAAACTAATTTTCAGAATCTACACTTCTGAAGTTTTCACAATCTACCCGTTTGAACTATCGAACGGTAATTGAAGCTCTATTGTAAGACCAAGCATAAACGATAGTAAAGCACACAAATCATCCCGCAAGCGAAACGCAGGTTTTGTCCGTCGTTTTTACGGCGTTTTGAATACCTAAATTTGCCATTCAACTTAGAAACTAAGTTTTTATCTAAAACAAAAATTTCTGAAACTATCGACTAGTTGCGAAAACTTTGGTGAAAAACCTTTGTTCCTTAAAGAAAAGACCATGTAAACACGAGTGCTTTGAAGAAAAGACCACGTTAACACGATTACACTATGCACATGGAAGAAAAAAGCGCAGTTTTCTCTTTGTTGCTGCGGCTCACTGAAAAAGTGTTTCCAAATGTTAGGCATACTCTCAGAACCGCAATTTTTTCATCTATCGATTGACAGCTTGAACTCTAATGAAAAGTCTATGATCACCGAATAAAGAACGAAAATACTCGTGCACCATACGTGGTCCTGAAAGAGTTAAAGAAAAGAAGACAGTTTATGAGTATTGAACAAGTCTGGTAATTAACAAACTTCTATCTACTCAAAAAGAGAATGTAATTATTACATTTAGTCTGACAGCAACGATGTGTCAGCTTCATCATCACCGTAATCTTGGTTCAACTAGGACTCTGTGAGGCTGGCCTCCAGTGAATAATAAACGGCATGAACACGACTATAGCTCCGAAGAAGACGAAATCACCTGAACGTTAGTATTATTGTGCTGGAAGAACATTACTGCTAACTCTATGCCAGCTCGTCAGAAAAGGAGTGAACTATTTGATTAGTGCAAAGGTAGTTGGAAGTCAGATCTCAAAATTTTTTCATATGGCTTAGCTACAGCGATTTCCGTACACCTAAGAGAATTGAGTCCACGGACCTCCCTCTTTGAGGGATCCCGCCCGGTTAGTCGCGAGGGCACGTGGCGCGTCCCCAGGTGGTGGATAGGGGAATAAAACGCGAACCAAAAGCGACCGTGTGCTTCCCAGAGACGCAGGTGGATTCAGGGGACGAGCTCCCTGCTTCTGCAGCGCCGACTTGACAAAAACTCTATTTCTACGAGTCAAGTCGGCCAAAAGCCTGCAATCAAGCGGCTGAGAAGTACATGGGAGGCGGTTAGGAGTCGCCTCCAACAAATAAGCTCCTCCAGCTCCTCCGAGAGAGACTGGCAAGCTACTCGTGAGTACCCAGCCCCCACGTTTAGAGCCTGGCAAGCTACACGTTGGGTATCAAAAATGCCAAAAACAGTAACAAATATGGGCCTCATTCCCCTGACCCCGAAAGAGCCCCTGGTACGGCAGCGCCAGGTAGGACGAGTACGGAGAGGCTGCTAAAATCTCAGGGCCGAACTAGGCTGCCAAGATCGAAACGGACTAAAATGACGATCTGTACCTACAACGCAAGAACCCTTGCTCAACAATCCGCTGTAGAAGATCTGTTGATTCAAGCAAGAAGAATAAGGTACGACGTCATTGGCCTGGCTGAGACGAGAAGGCGCCATCCTTTTCACGCTGTCTATGACACCGGAGAAGAACTGTTCCTTGGAACATGCGATCGCAGAGGTGTCGCTGGCGTTGGCGTCCTCGTCAAATCGAATTTGACCGTGAGCATTGATTCCTTCGAACAACTAACAACCCGTATCGGACGATTACGGTTGAAACGATGTGGTTCTATGCCGGCTTTGACCATCTTCGTTGCTTACGCACCAACATCAAGCTATGACGAAGACGAAGTCGAAGCGTTCTATATGGACCTCGAAAAATTCTTCAGAGAAGATCATACATTCTTCAAGGTCATTGTCGGAGATTTTAACGCAAAAATTGGACCTAGAAGAACGTCTGAAGAACGTCACATAGGGACCCACGGACTAGAATGGAATGAACAGGGAGAGGCTATCCGAGTTTATCATGACGACCCAAACCATCCATGGTAACTCGCAATTCCAAAAGCCTCTCTCTCAGCGATGGACGTGGGAGTCTCCCAATGGAGAGTACCATAACGAAATAGATCACATCATAGTAAATCGAAGGTTTTGCCTGACCGACGTCGCTGTTGTTCCCAAGTTCTACACGGGATCAGACCATCGCCTCCTTCGCGCAACGTTCCGATTTTCGAGGAGAGGAGAGAAAGCCGCTAAATTCAAACAACGAAGTCCCAGAACTACCATAAACTGGGATGTATTCAAATCATTAGTCGGCTCTTGGGAAGATACCGTTGTCGACAACATCGACGAAGAATACGATCGACTCGTTGAATATCTTCACGTTAGCGCTAAAAAAGCCGGGAGTCCTAAGGTCACGAAGAGACGCTTGTCTCCGCAGACACTCGAGCTGATACGTCAACGTGGAATCGCACGAGCTGCAGGCAACCGAAACCTTACGTCCGAACTTGCGAAACGATGCAGAGAAGCGATAAAAGAAGACCTTCAAAAGAGAAAAGCAGCAGTTACGGCAGAAGCTGCAGAAGCTGGGAAGAGCATTTGCAAAGCCCAGCGAGGCTTCGCCAACTATAAGACCAAGATGATTGCACTCCGATACCCTGACGGGACACTTACAGCTTCCAGAAGGGCTATGGAGAAAATCATCCACCAATACTACTCGGATCTCTTTGCTAGCCATGTTCTCCTACCGTCATATAAATTGAAAGAGGACGAATATGTCGTTCCACCGGTCCTTCCTTCCGAAATCCGACATGCTATATCGTCGGTGAAAAACAGAACAACACCCGGTCCAGACAGGATTAGACCAGAACACCTGAAGAACCTGCCGCCAGTTCTCATCAACACCCTGGCTCGGCTCTTCACTCGCTACCTGTCAGAATGCAAGGTCCCTATTCAATGGAAAACCAGCAAGACCGTATTGTTGTTCAAAAAGGGAGACCTTCACGACATAGGCAATTATCGCCCAATCTGCTTGCTGTCCGTTGTCTATAAACTCTTTACTCGAGTCATCCTGAACAGGATTGACAGAACACTGGACGAAGGACAGCCATGCGAACAAGCAGGGTTTAGAAAAGGATTTAGTACCATGGACCACATCCACACGATCACAAGACTCATTGAAGTTTCGCGAGAGTACAAACAACCACTCTGTCTCACTTTTATCGATCTGAAGAAAGCCTTTGATTCAGTGGAAACAGAAGCGGTTATAGAGGCTCTGGATAACCAGGGCGTCCCTGCTCGGTACATAATGATCCTTCGTGAGCTTTATAAAGATTTCACGACCAGAATATCTCCATTCTACAACAATATCACCATTGACGTAAGAAGAGGGGTTTGACAAGGCGATACAATATCGCCAAAACTATTCACTGCCACTTTGTAAAACGTCATGCGAACATTAGAATGGGACGAAATGGGAGTGGAAATTGACGGTCGACAATTAAACCATCTTCGCTTTGCTGACGATATCGTTCTCATAACACCGAACATCAGCCAAGCGGAACGAATGTTGACTGATTTCGATAACGCCTGTGGAAAGATCGGTCTTCAACTGAATCTAACAAAAACAATGTTCATGAGGAACGGATGGGTTTCAAATGCCCCATTCACGCTCAACGGAACGACAATCTCCGAATGCTCCAGTTACGTCTATCTAGGTCGTGAAATCAACAAGATGAACGACCTAGCTCCAGAGTTGAGCAGGAGGAAACGAGCGGCTTGGGGAACGTTTAAGAGCATCGAAGATGTAGTGAAGAGGGCAAAGAACATCCGACTCCGTGCCCTTCTTTTCGACTCGACAATTATCCCTCCCCTAACGTATGCAGCAGAAACCTGGTCGCTACGTAAGCAGGATGAAAGATCACTTGCCGTCATCGAACGCGCAGTCGAAAGGTCGATGCTAGGAGTATCTCGTATTTCGCAAATGAGACAAAGGATCCGAACTTCCGACCTACGTCAACGATCGAAAATCAGAGACGCCGTTCTACACGCCAGGATATCGAAAATAAGGTGGGCCGGACACGTGATGCGCTTCAACGACAACCGATGGACGAGAGCCGTTACCGACTGGATTCCTCGGGACGTCAAGCGCTCTAAAGGAAGACCACTGACCCGTTGGTCCGATTTCTTCACGAAAGCGATGGAAGAAAGATATGATGCTCAGCGAATTCCTAGAGCGAGGAGGACCCACTGGGCAACTCTTGCACGCGATAGGGAAAAATGGAAGAGTTGCTGGTACCCGCTCGAGTCACTCGACGATCAACGGGACGACAGGTGATACAGGTGATACAGGTGAAGAGAATTGAGTGGTGAGCAAAAACATCGCCTCAGCCGTGAATCGGACCCGCGTTTCATCCTCTCCGCGGACGCGTGCTCTACCACTACACCAGCGAGGCACATTTGTCCGACCACTCATTCTTCAACATCTCTAAGTTAACTATCAGCCAGCAACCTGTAACAGGTTTGGTTGGGTATGCTATTTTGCTTTGTAAACCCAGTTGAGCTGATAAAGGATAAAAGGATAAAGCTCCTGGCGTTGATCAATCCCTGAGGGATGCGCCATACATTCGACTTCAATTTTGACTTCGTTTGAGGTGATTGAATGCATATCTGGCCTTTACATTGACTCGCGGAGGCCTCCCGCTGAACCGAGTCAGTGCTGCTCATTTTCCCAGACAAGTTAAGACCTGTCTGGTACCAATTTATCGACCCCGCAGAAATGGATGGCTTAGTGAGCCATGAGCGCAAGATCGAACCATTGACCTCGTATGCGACGCCAGGGCACCTCTAACCACTGCGCTACATGCGCTCCTCAGTCGCGCTGATAGCCATTGTGTTGTGATAACTAGTACTCGAATTCTGCAGTGTTTTGACTACATTTTTTCGCAGTGGTACGATATTTTCCATGCACCTA